TTTTGGTTTCTGTCTTATATGAACATTTGCTTCGTCATTGAAAAACAATTCAAATTGCTTTAATTACTCTTCATTTATGTTACCTACCACATTTTGATTTTCCCTGGGTCAGTAATTTGCATGATAATATTATTTTCTTTATATATAACTCTATCTAAAATTATGTGTTTATGTTCCCTTTCCAATATAGAATCTATCATGAATCCTTGGCTCTGTAATCCTTCCATATTTTTTTTTTCAATAAAATAATTAATTGATCTTGTTCAAATTTTGTTTCTTGTAATTTACATGTTATTGTTATTGTATTGTATATTTTGAAAACGTTTTTTCATTTTGTTTATATTGTTTTCATTGATGAAATTATCTATACTTTCTAATGGATGTTCAATTTCCTTTGAAATATCCACAATATTAATTTTTATTATAATCCATTCTTCATTTGTTGGGAGTCCCTTTCTTATTTATCTAATCTTATTATAATTTTACCAAATATTTTAGGTATCTATAATTTAATTTTAATGATGGAGATTTTTCTTTAGTATTAGTTTTTTCATTTGCTATCCATTTTAATGGTATATGGTCTATTGCTGATTGTATAATGATTTTTCTAATGGATCTATTTGTGTTTTTAATATTTTTATTATTAAGAAAACTTTTTTTATATAATTCATTGTTTTTATCTTTGAATTGTTTCCTTTTTTCTTTTTTCATATTATCATACATGTATACTCTTCTTTTAGTCTTGTATCATTTTTCATTGGCTTCTTGTTTAAGTTTTAAAATATTGATTATGGAGAAATATGTGATGGTTAAATTTCTGAATAGTTCAGTTTTTTGGTTTTTTGGTTTACATTTGACCCAAAAATTACAGACATTCTAAATTCATTAACTATGCAAAATATACATAATAACTTCATAAAAAAATTATAGCTTGTTTTAGCAAATGTGTTGTGAGGTAGAGATTCCGGAAGGATCCTATTTCTAAATACATAATTATTATACTATGATAGCAATAGTCCATTTCTTACCAAAATTAGAATGGAGATCATGATCCATTTAATACATAATGCCATAGCTGGCCAGTTATAAGTCTGATTGTATTGTTAGATGTACCACAAAAATTTGCATGTTTATTATAATCTTAATATTAATATTAATTGAATTATTTGCTTTGTTTGCTTTATTGCTTTATTTGTTTTGTTCATTTTGTTCATTTTGTTCAAATTATTCGATTTATTCATTTCATTCATTTTATTTATTTCATTCAAATTATTCATTTTATTTGACCAAACTTTCAATCTAATTTGAATTAGTGATGTTAGCCGGCTAATAATCTGCATGCATAATTTCTAAATTTGGCAATAGATTTCTGCGATACTTTCTTGTTATAGAAATCAAATTACCAATTTAGGTAGTAAACGGCTTAGCCGGCTAAGGATTTTTAAACGGCTAACATCACTAATTTGAATACATAAATTCATAACAATGAAACAAATAATTTGAATAAACCTTATTCAAATAAAAAACCTAAGGACATTCTATTTTTTTTCAATTCATATATAAAATCCATCATCTCTGCAAACTTTTTAAACTCATTCAAACTCTTATTGTTTCTGGTTCTAGGATACAACATCTTTGAGTAATTAAGTCTATTCTCCAGAAAAAACTCATTCAATCAGTTTGTTAGATTAGAAATTAAATAAATTTAATTCTAAAAAAAAATTGAATCATCCAAGTAGTAATAATACTAAGACCATGCAAAACTGAATTTTTTATGCATATATGCTTCCAATTCCAAATCACAGAGTTTCTTAAAACTGTTTCCAAAAAAATAAAATAAATAAATCTATACACAAGTTGCAGAGTTCCTTCCTTAAAATCATCTCCAAAAAAATAAAAAATAAAAATAAAAAATAAAGAATAAATCTGACATTGATCATAGGTGTCAGATTTAATAAAATTTCCTTTTACAAATGTACTATCATGCATATTGCACTCCTCATAACCATAGAATTTCTCTATAGGTGACGCCATTCATACATTAGTAGGCTTTAAGACAAGTGAGAGGCTTTAATAGTCTCTTCGTCAACAACACAATTAACAAACCTCAGAACCCTGCTGCCCCTTCCTGAAACTTAATTGCATTGTCATATCATAGGGACTCCAGCTTCAAATTAGCCCTTATACACAAGGAATTATTTTTGAATATTTTGAGTCTTTAACCAACTTCAATGTCCTAATAATTATTTAATATTAATAATTTGTTTATTATTATGATAAAGAGTTTTATGGAGGCGAACATAATTTAATTACCTTCTTCCAGTTCCAGTCTCAATAAAACTTTGAAATGAAAGTTGTTAAAAATAGTTTGTAAATATTCTGAAAATTTATTTGTCAAAGAACATCTTTTAATGAGTTACCTAAATCCAGTCATCCAAGTCAATCTAAAAAAAAGTTTATTAAAAAATAATTAGTAACTATTCTGGAATCTTATTAGTAAAGAAAATCTTTAACATGTTGCCTAAATCCAACTATTCCAGTTCCAGTCTCTGAAAAAATTTTATTGAAAAATAATTAAGAAAAGAAAAACTTTTGACATGTTGTCTGAACAACAGAGTTGTGTGATGTCTAATTTCCTACATTATTGTTATTGATTTTTAAATTTGCTAACTTCTATTTAAGAATGTTTTTCCAAATAATCAGCATCTCATCAACAAAAACGAAAAAAAGAAACTATTTGTGTGTATATTATTTCATAACATAGGGCTTAAATTTTATTGGCTGATCAACAAGGTGCATGAAAAATGAATATTATTAAGAAAATATCTAAACATATATACTCACTGGGTAATTTACCTGGATCATGTGTTTGTGCAACTTAACATAAAAATAAACTTTTTTTCATATTTACACAGTAAGTCTCGGTATAGCGGACCTCAGTATAGCGGATGTCTAATAAAACTCTTGGTTTAACAGATCAAAGCTCAGAACCAACAGGAGAGACCGTCCTATATAAGGAATGGATTTTCACAATTGATTTCAATTTTTTTTATACAGTTTAAAATACTTTTACAAGGGTATCATGTAGCCCATTCTTGCAATAAATCATGTGTAAATAATTACACAAACTTGAAGCTTTACACTTTGTTGTTATCATATCTTTTGAATCCCTTTGAATCCCACAACTTTCATAATACAATTTACTCAAAGAAAAATTGCTTGAAATTAAACATTGCACAGAATGTAAAACCACTGAATCAGCTAATTTTCATCAACGAAAGGCAATAAATGAAAAGAAGCTGAGAACAACAACTTAGAGAAAGTAACGTGTTGTTTTATGTAACATTTGTTATATGAATTTTGTAGAAAATCTTTTAAAAGAGAACCTAGGAGAGTAAAAACCACAGATGCGGAAGGGGAAGAGATAAGATTGATTTCACTAAAGCCATCAAATACAAAGATTGCTCCAAGAAATAGAACCAAGCTTGAAGGGTTTTTTAACCAACTCTATTTAGCAGCTCAGCCATTTGAACATAATGGATCATATGAAGAGATTAATGGTATTCATGTATTATCTTCTTGTTTTAAATAATACAAAAATTAACTCTTTTAAGTTCAAACTTGCATTCTATTTAGACTCGGTAGATACAAGTCTTGGAGTAACTACAACATCAAAAGCAGTAGATCGTAAAAAGAAGCAAGTTGCAGATGAACATGAGAAATATGTAGAGAATGCACTTACAAAATATTCAAAAATACATTCTTATTGAATGTTGACGATTCATGTCTAGAGACAATCAGTATCCTTTAATTATTAAAACTTTGTTACTTCTAGGAAACCATCTACAAACATTTTTTGCAATTGCGTATAATGTGATTACACTAACTATACCAATTTGAATAATTGTAGTGTACCCATTTATTACAATCATTGTCTACAAAGGTGTCAATCTAAATATTTGATATCTTGGACTATCTTCAAGTCGAAATCAAAAAAAAATGTCAACACACTAAAAGAAAATATGATGAAAATATTAAATGAAATGAATTTATCGAAAATAATGAAAATACAGTTGATGATGATCTGGGCAATGTTGAATCAGCAACAGATGACAGCAGCAATGGAAATTTTATTAGAACATGCAAAAAAAATTTTTTTGGTTGTAAATTTTATTTTTATTAAATAAATTTGTTTGATTTTTCATACATTGTTCATTTTTCATCACAATCATGTATCTTAAATTTGTTGTGTTTACAATCATTTCATTGACATTCATTATATTAAGGTTATTTTGATTATATCGAGAGATATGGTCAAGAGAAAAGTTAGGAAGAGAGTTATTCTTCGACCAAGTCAAAAACCAACCCTTTAAATACATTTTCGAGTAGTACAATTTAATTTATTAGACTATTTCTTCCAACTTCTTAAATTCGTTAATGAAACAATTGTTGGTGAAGTGATTGTTGACAAAATGAATCAAACCCATATTTATTTCTACGTTTATCAAATTCGTGATTTTAATTGGTCAATCAACAAAATAGCATGGGTTAAAATTTTGTGTTCCCTCCTGTTAATTTTTGTGTTCCCAGAACGGTCTCTCCTGTTCTCAGAACCGTCTATAAGTAAA